TATGTACATGATTCCGCACCTCCCCGGTCAGATTAATATATTCCACTGTGTCCTGATCATAGAATGAAACAAACACAAAAAAATCTCCAATATTTACATTCTGTTTTCTTGGGATCCTTTCTCCGATCCTCATTGCCCAGCAAAGAAGAAAGACCATTTCAGTAGTTCGGGGCTGGAATGCATGGGGCTCAATCACACAAACGGTAGAAACAGGTAAGTGGATCTGCTTGTCCAGTCAATGGCAAGCAGATTAAGATTCAGGCACTGGTGTTTTTCCTCACTGGATTTAAAGGAGGCAGATAAGGTTTTTTCCTTCTTCTATTTCTTCTTGCACTTTGTCACTGGATGTTGCTATTTCAGCTTGCGCCGAGAGGACTGCACAGATGAATGTCAGAATAGTGCCACCAATTGCTGTGTAGAAAGCCCAGCCCAAGGAGCAGTCTCCAAGTTTGTAAGCAGAAGCATAATGTCCACAATAGCTTATTGCTTTCTGACATCCCCAACCTGCAGGGTAAAGTATCAAGCCTAAGATAAGGAAGAGGCCTAGAAATAAAAACAGAAAAGACAGAAGTTATGAGTCTAACACCAAATGCAACACACAGAGTATGGTTATCATGGTCACTACTCACTCCTCAGTACCAGGATTAGGAGATGATTCTTCCTTGTCCATCCTTCCTTTACTGATTGTTCCCTAGTATGCAGTGTTTTATCTAAACGTGGAGCTATCCTGTGTTTTTTTTCTTGTGAGAAGCTTATTTCACATGAGAGTGGCCTAGTTCCTAATTTTAATCCCTGTATTCCTTCTACATCCTTTGTATTCACACACTATTGCCAGATATACAGGGCTTGCAAAACATTTGAGCGTCTCTACCTACTGTTCATAACTTTGCATGTTTTGAATGCATAGGAAGGTTTGCATCCACTTTGAGGTTGTGTTTGGCTAGCCCTCATTCAGCTACAGTCAGTCATTAATCATAAACATTTTTGCCTGTTTCCTCTGGCATCTTCCAACACTGATTTTTTCTTGCCTGGAAAAAAAATAATAAATCTCACAGTGCATCTGCTTATTTGGCTACATGAGGACATAGCAGAAAAATAATACAGCCAGTTCAGTAAGCTGCTTTCATAATAGAGGGATTCTGGAGTCAGCCCCAAACAAACAGATCAAGTACCCATGGCCAGTGCATAGGTAACGCTGGGATTCTCTAAACAGGCAGTCAGCTGCTGCGGAGTGTCTAGTGATGCAGGAGTAAAAGCCTCAACTGCCCACCTTGCTAAACTGCGTGAACACCTCCTGTGCCTCAGGCTGGAAGTAAAAAACTCAGACTACATGTTTTGTCCATCTGATCATCTCTTGTTTGGAGAGCTTTCTCTCCTATGAGGACCAGTCTTTACTTAAGCAGGAAATTAAAAGCCATGTTACAATCCCTGCACACATGAGGTGTCTTTGCACAAAGAGGAGAGATTTTAATCGAAGTGCCTAATAGTCTAAGGGCTATAGTGCTCTCTTACGGGCCATGCTAAAAATATCACAGTGAGCTGAAAACAAATCTCCCTCCTATAAGGTACGTGGGAAGCAGCTAAACACCAGAACAGCTCATAGGTATAAAAAATTGCTGTTTTCTTTAAAACTTTACACAGAAGAACAGAAAGAATTATGAAAAACAGGTCCTGCTTGAACACAAACAGTTCATCCAGAAAATGAATACAGTCTTCCAGATTCCATAAATATTACTGATTTGTCTAGTGCTATAAAGCCCTTTACTTAACCTGGCACCTTGACAAAACTAGCTGGTAGAGTTGATGTTACTTTCTAGAAATGGGCTGAAAGTTGTGGGTTTTATGTATGGTGCTGGCTCATCCACTAGATTTAATCTAATCCCAAATTTACTACCAAGTACTAAAATAGTGTAGGGA